CCGGGGGCGCGGGCCGCCTGTCCCGGGGGTCCCGAGCCGGTCCTGGCCCGCGTCTGCCGGCCCCGCCGGAGCCCGTGGTGGTTTTGCACGCAGAGCCCTTGTTTTTGTTCTCGGCACGGGGGGTGGGGGCTCCCCGAGACCCGGGTGGGCCGCGCGCGGCTTCCACGCGCGACAGCGCCCGCGTCCGGCGTGGCCTCGCCGCGGAGGCGTGGGGCGGGACGGAGCCCCGGCCTTGGCGGGGTCGCGGTCGGAAGCGGCCCCAGGGCCAGGCCCCAGGCGTGAGCTGATCACCCCGTTGGGTCGGACTTGCTCAAAACTCCCCGCTCTCTGATTTCAACTTCATTATTTTTTTTTCCCACGGCTTCACTAGGGTCTGGGAGGGAGAGGAGCAGCCGCGACGGCGTCCCCGAGTGCCAGCGCCCGCTGGCTGGTCCTGACCCTTTATTTTAAAGCCTCCGTACCAACCAGGCCCACGACAAGCTCTGCTTATATTTGGGGGTGGCATTTCTTGAGGAGTGCTCGGGTCTCAGCAAACCAAGGGGGCGAGCCTCCGGTCTGGCCTGGCGGTGTCACAAGTTAGCTGTCCTTTCCGAGTCAAACCCAACAAAAAAGGCGAGAGGGAAATCAATAAAGTCCACGTGCTCCCGGGCCTCCTATGGAAAGGGCTGCTGCGGATGGCCGGATGCCCGGCCGTGGGCAGGGTTTGGCTCCAACGGGACAAAGAATTTTCACAACCCGGAGAGGGGGAGGCTTTCCAAAGTTGAGATCCAAGCCCTGGGTGCTGCAGGGGGCTCCCTGGCTGCCCAGGCCGGCCCAGGGGCCAACTGGAGCCTTTTAAAAATGGCAGAAACAGCTGCAGGCCCAAGCACACCCCGGAAAACAGCCAGCCATCCCTCCCGGCCTGTGGGACACCCCAGGCAAAGGGAGTGGTCTCGGCGCACGTGTGAAGAAGGACCGGGGTCTGGGCAGGGTCCTGTGTCTCCCTGGCCTTCGGCGTGGGAAGGCCCCAGGCAAATTGCCCTTTTCTTTCTGCTCCTGGAGGCGTGGCAGGGCCTCCTACCCAGGCTGCAGCCGGGCCCAGCTCTGTGCCTGTGACAGCTGTGCCCTGGGCCACCAGCTGCTCTGCTGGGAGGGCAGATGGAGGCGCAGGGTCGCCTCACTCCACTGCCCCACGGCAGACCTGAGTGGCTGCCAGAGGCGTCCAGCCCATCCTCCCACGGCTGCCCAGGCCTGGGGCTTCCCGGGGGATTCAGCCACGCCTGTCACTCTGTTGGGAAGCAGGCTGTCAGTCACCTGTGCCTTTGGACCTCAGGCTCGGGGTCTCTGGGTGGGGCTTCCACTGTGACCTTGGAACTGAGGACCTCACCTCTCTAACCTGGCTGAGGACAGCTCAGGTGCTTGAACATGCTGTCCTCATTGTGAGGGGGACTTTAGAAACTTGGCTTTGCCTTTTTTTTTTTTTTTTTTTGGCCCCTTTTAAGCAGAAAGCTTGGCCTTGGGGCTGGGTTGCTCCAGCCCTGGAGAGACTGAGCCAGGCCTTGCTGTGCTTTTGGATTGAGTCGGGGTTGTTTATTAACTGTGACCACCAGCCATCCATTTCACCAAGGGCTAGGGTGTGTGGTTGCCAGATTTAGCAAATAAAAATACAGAACACCCAGTTAAATTTGTATTTCAGATAAATAAGAAAATAAGTTTTAAAAATAAACGTTACTAGCCGGGTGTGGTGGCACATTCCCAGCACTCAGGAAGCAGAGGCAGGAGGATTGCTGGTGAAGTCTAGGCCAACCTGGGCTACATAATGAGACCCTGTCTCAAAAGAGAGAGAGGGAGGGAGGGAGATGAGGGACAGAAACGCTATCGCTGAGAGTGTGGCGCAGTGCAGTGGCTCAGCTTAGCATGCACAAGACCCCGGGTCTGATCCCCACCAAAAAAGAAAAAAGCTTTCTCAGTATAAAAGTGTAGCTCCTCCTCCTCCTCCTCCTCTTTCTCCTCCTTCCTGCCTTCCTTCTCCCATCAGGAGACAGGGCTCCATCTGGCCTCAGTTTTCTGTTAAAAAAAAGAAAAAGTATTTCCTCTGCCATATATGGGACCTATTTATACCAGAAAATTACCCATTTACCTGAGGTGCCCGTGTGAGCAGGTGGCTGTGTTTTACCCAGGAGAGAGCCGGGGTGTCAGGTATCCCCATTTCCCACAAGCGGAGGGTGACCCCAGCTCCTGAGCCCCAGGGACCCCTAAACGCCCCCCTCTGCCAGCCCTGCCCATGAGCGCCCATCTGTCACCACCGGTGGCCTCCTGTCTTCTCTGTCGGGTGTCCTGGCGGAGTGGGCCGCAGGCAGAGGACAGGTGAGGGAAACAAGCTGGGGGTCCCTCTCCGGGAGACCGGCCGGCTCTGGGTGAGTGGACCAGGAGGGGGATGGGGGCGCCGGGGGAGCCGACGCTGGAAGTTTGGACCCTGGGATCTCGCTTGTCACAATCCCTCCCTCAAGATGCCTACTGGCAAGGTGGCCTGGCCTCGCTAGGGCGAAGCCAGCCTTCAGCCTGCCTGGGGTGCAGTGCCGGTGAGGGGCCCGGACCCTCTTCAGGCATCAGAGTCACCCTGGGCAGTGGGCGGCTGCGAAATGTCTCCTTGTTTGGTCCCTGTCATTTCTGTAAGAGCCCCTGCTGGGGAGGAAAGTTTGGGGGACAGCACTTCCTGCTTTTGTCACAGGAGCCAAATCTGATGGGCAGAAAGCGGTCCTGCAGCCGCACTGCTGACCAGGGCCCATCGAGGCAGGGAGGGCTCAGAGAGCACCAGTGGTGGTGGAGAATCCTGGCTGGGTGCCTGCAGGGACTCGGGGTTGGCAGGAGCTGTCACGGGCCTCTGGAGCAGGCTGTCGCTCCCCACAGCACGTGCCCCGAACCACACTTTGTTTTGTTGTTTTGTTTTGTTTTGTTTTGTTTTTGAGACAGAGTCGCACTATGTAGCCCAGACGGGCCTCGAACTCTTGGCCATCCTCCTGCCTCAGGTTGCAGGCGTGCACCACCATACCCCCAAATCATGTTTTTAAATTAGCCAGAGATCTGATTTTTATGGAATCTGTTTTGTTTTTGTTTCTGTTTTGTAGTTTTTTAAAACATTTTGAAAAGTACCACACAGGCTACAGCAAACACGCCCAGCGCAGTGGCCCCTTGTCTGTCACCCTCGCGGTAAGGTGGCAGCAGGCTTGGACCAGGTGTTCTGGGCAGATGGCTTCGGAGCAGTGATGAGAAGGCGCAGCTGGGCCTGCTTGCCGTGTCTGGGAGTCCCAGGTCATTTCTCTTTTTCTTCTTCGGCAGTGGGGATTGAACCCAGGGCCTTTGCGCTGAGCTATATCCCTAGCACATTCTCATTTTAAAATTTTGAAACAGGGTCTTGTGAAGTTGCCCAGGCTGGGCAGAAACTTGCAAACCTCCTGCCTCAGCCTCCTGCAGGCTGAGTTCTCAATGCCCCGCCTCTGCCCTGAAGCCCCTCAATGGCCATAGCTACAGATGCTCATTCTGGGGGCACTTGGGGACTCAGCAGAGGGACTCGGGAGCCTTGAGCTCCCGGCCTCAGCATCTGGAACTGCACAGGGAGGAAACAGCTCCGATACTGTCTCAGCTCCCTGCCTGAAGGGTGTCCCGTGAGTTACAAGTCGCCTCAGACCTCTGGTGTGTGGGCTTGCTGGGCCCAGGCCGAGGAGGCCAGTGGGTGGCTTTGGGCCTGTGCACAGGCTCTGGTGATATGGCGATGCTGTCAGGTGTCTGTTACCCATGTGCTCCTCAGGGTGGACTTGCAGTGTTCCCGGGTGACAGGAGAGCGGAAGTGGTCCTGAAATCTTAGCACTCGGGAGGCTGAGGCAGGAGGATTGCCAGGAGATCAAGGCCAGCCTGAACTACATAGTAAGACCCTGTCTCAAAGGAAAGAAAAGGGGACAGGGTGAGGGGCCTGACAGCTGCTCCACAAAGCGGCCTGGCGTGGGGGTTTTGGAGAGCGGAGGTTCCTCCCCATGACTTAGTTTCTTTATCTGTCCAGTGGGAACAGTGGTGTTTCCCACCACACAGCTCCTTGGTGCTTGGCATGCTGGCAGTATCACTGGAGCCAGGATAGAGCCAGTCCCTTGCTCCCACTGGCAGGGCATGTGTGGGCCCCAAGTGAGCAGAGTTTGGGGTGGGGGCATCTGTGGCTCTGGTTGGCCAGTTTGGGGTGCACTGGGCATGCAGTTACGTGGAAGGACCCACAGGCAGTTTGGGTACAGAGGCCAAAACGAGTGCAGAGCAGCCAGGCACGGGGGCGCACGCCTGTAATCCCAACTCGACAGGAGGCTGAGGCAGGAGGATCACAGGTTTCCCTGCCTCAAAATAAAATACATGAGGGCCGGGGTGTTGCCTGGTGGTAGAGCCCTTGCCTAGCGTGTGTGAGACTGGGCTTTGGTGTCCAGCCGGGATGTAAAGGTGTCAGGCAGCCGTGACGGAGGTCCTCGGGCCACCCCTGTTCCTGGTCTCAGTGGGGCTGTTCCCCGGCATTGCTGAGGGCTCCTGGCGGCTCTGCCACCTCTGCTGCCTCTGCCACCTGTGCCGCTGTGCCTCTGGCCGTGACATCCGCTGGGGTCCCTTGCATGAGCCAGGCTCCCTGCGGGGCCGCGGTGGGTCCTGAATGTCCTTGGGTTCAGACTCCAGCCTCGCTTCTGTGCCCCAGTCTGAGGAGGCCGGGTGCGCGGTGATCACCTGGGATGTGGTGGCGAGGGAGTCTGGCGTCTCATGAAACCAGTCGCCCGCTTCCTTCACGCCGCCTGTCATTTTCTCTTCGCCAGCCGGGGCCTGGATGCTGTCCTTCCAGAGTGCCAGAGGTGGGGTGCAAGGCCCCCACAAGGCCTGGCTCTGTGCACCCTCCACAGCCCCCGTGCCGACCCGGGGGGACGTCCCCTCCTGCCCTGGGCACTGGGACCTGGGCCCCCTCGGGGTGAGCAGGCTTCGGCCCTTGATGCCCCCTCGTGGGCTCCTCTCGTCCCCGGCAGGGAGAAGAAGTGGGTTACAGTTGGCGACACATCCCTCCGAATCTACAAGTGGGTCCCCGTGACGGAGCCAAAGGTTGACGATGTGAGTATGTGGCCTGGCCCTCTGGGGTGCGGGGAGAGGGCTGTGACCCCCCTAAACGCTACTCCGGGGAAGCACAGGCTGCACCTCCGGACGCCACCCCCGGCACAGCCCTGTCGCAGAGTGGCCCTCAGAGAGGCGCGCACTGTCCCAGCCAGCTGTGTCTTCTGCGCCCGGAGCCCACGGGGACCCAGTTCGGCACATTGGCCCCTCCCCGGGCCCAACTGCAGGGCACCCACAGTCAGCGACCGTCCCCATGGCTGTGGCACATGCTGGCCTCCCAGGCCATCGCCAGCCCGTGCCTGCGGGTCACGGGATCATGTCCTGTGCTTCTCCTGCCGAGCCGCCCTGGAGGTGATCGTTGAGGACACCGGCTCAGAAAGGGGCAGCCACCTCCCCAGGACACACAGCGAGTGCCAGGTCCTCCTGACGCTAAAGCACCCACCGGAGAGTCTTCTGGTGGCGACAGCACCCCCAAGGGTGAGAAGGCAGAGTGCAGGCTGCCTGGGGGCCCTGACCCAGCCGGAGCCGAGGGGCAGCGCTGGTCCCCAGGCCCGAGCCCCCCGTCCCGAGTCTCCGCTCCAGGCAGGGCTGAGGCTTCGCTGACCACGCAGTCACGGCTCACCAGGGAGGCCAGGGCTGGGCGTGGGACCCAGGCTCTGCCATACCTGCTGGTCCCAGCCGGGCTCCAGGGGTCACCAAGGCCTGGGCCTGTCCCTCTGCGTCCCTAGGGGGGATGCACAGGGACCCACGACACGGTCGGGTGCAGGAGAGCGGCCACCTGGCAGAGCCGTGGCCCCTGCTTGAGGCATTTCTCCTCGGGGGAGCTGGCAGCCGCTGGAGAGCCGAGGGCAAAAGGACCACGGAGGGGACGCCATCCACAGCACGGGAGGCGGCCGGCTCCTGCCGGCAGAGCACGGCCTCGGGGTCGCACAGACTGGCCACCGCTGGACGTCACCCTGCGGGGCCCCGCCCCGTCTTCTGGGCGGCTGGAGCAGCGCGGTGAGGCCACGCGGGTGACCGAGCCTGGCACTGCGCTGGGGTCCCAGCCCTGCTCTGCCTTGCTAAAATCCGAGCAGCTGAGTCAGTCTCTGAAGGTCAGGGCCAGGAATCTGCACTGAGGTGGGATGGCTTTCTATTGTCTTAAAAAATACCCAGTTATAAGCTCAACATACCAGAGGATACCTATGATCCCAGCACTTGGAAGGCTAAGGCAGGAGGATCACAGCGAGTGCAAGGCCAGCACGAACTACGTAACGAGACCCAAAACACACAAACAAAAAATAAATACCCAATTGCTGTATGGCTACACTATTTTTTGTTTTTACTTCAGAACTGAAATTTTCATTTTTTTTAAACAAATGAGACATGTTTCAAAATTTGCATGTTACTTTAAGAACAGTTACGGTCGATGACTTTACGTCACTTTTGTTTTGTTGTGGTATTGGGTATTGAGCCCAAGGGTGCTTTATCATTGAGCTGCAGCCCCTGCTTCTTTTTATTTTATCTTGAGACAGGGTCTCACTAAGTTGCTAAATTGCCCAGCCTGAGCTTGAACTTGCAATCCTCCTGCCTCAGCTTCCCAGAGTGCCAGGATTATAGGTGTGCACCATCGTGCCTGGCTCCCAAGTGGCTCTTTCAAGGTATATAATTCAGTGTTAGGATATCCATCGCTATACCACCATCACCACTGTCATTGCAAGAATATTTTTATCTCCTCACAAACAAAATGCAAAGAAACTCATATCATTCAATTAATCTACGCCAATAATTATAAACGAGGGGGGCAGGGTCACCAGCATTCAGGCTGGCCATCAACTCACTATGTAGCACAGCTAGCTTTAAATTTGCTGCCATCCTCCTGCCTCAGCCTCCCAAGTGCGGGGATTACATATATGCACTACCACACCCAGCGAATAATTATACTTTAAACAAAAATTAGTTGGGCATGGTTGCACATGCCTGTAATCCCAGCACTCGGGAGGCTGAGGCAGGGGAACTGTTGGAAGTTTGAGGCCAGCCTGGGCTTCATAGTTTAAGACCTGCCTGAAATTACACAGCGAGATCTTGTCCCCGCAAAAATAAGAGGAAGATGAGGAGGAAGAAGAAGAAGACCAGCAATCTTGAGATGATGGCACATGCCTGTAATCCCAGCTACTCAGGAAGCTGAGGCAGGAAGATCCAGGTTCAAGCCCAGCCTGCCTGGGCAATTTAGCAACACTTTGTCTCAAAATAAAATTTGAAAAGGACTAGATTAGACCTCAGTCATAGAGCGTTTGTCTAGCATGTGCAGGGCGCTGGGTTCAATCCCCAGTACTACAACCAAAAAAAGAAGGAGCAAGAGAAGAGAAAAGAAGAACATTCTGGCTGGGTGGCGGGCAGGCAGTCCCCGCCCACCCGCCTGTACCCCATGGCCGCCTGCCGCCTCCTCCGCTGTGCCCCTGTGTGTCTGTAGCTCTTGTAGTGTTTGCTTCTTACCGCAGATCTTATTGTAAATCTGCTCTCACCCCTGACCCTCCCCACCCTGTTCTCTCCCAGGGGGCAGCTAGCACCCCCAGTTAGGGTTTATCCTTGCAGAGAGCCGTGCTGACAGACACCGCACACTCCCAGCACACTCGCTGTGCCCCCGGAATGGCGATGCTCACGTGTTCTGCACCTTTTTTTAAATACATCTTGGAGATACAAAATATTTTTGGGGGTGCTGGGGATTTAGCTCAGCGGCACAGCACCTGCCTGACAAGTGCAAGGTCATGAGTTCGATTCCTGGTACCAGAAGAAAAACAAAAACAAACAAATATTTTTTTGCTTAGGGCCACTGGGAATTGAACCCAGGGCCTTTGCATCAAGCTGCATCCCCAGCCCTTTTTATTTTGAGACAGGGTCTCACTAAATGGTGCAGCCTGGGCTGGCATGTGTGATCCTCCTGCCTCAGCTTCTCAGAGTGCTGGGATCACAGGCATGTGCCACCATACCCAGGTTTCTGTTAATTTTTTTGCAGATCATCTTAGTTAAGTGAATAGCAGCCTTGGTCTCTGTAACTGTTACTTTGTATTACACTGAAGAAACTTTGTAATCTCTTTAATGAGTTTCTGCCCTATGGACACAGCTATGTGGTTTCCAACACCATGGTATCCCTAGTATGAAAATGGGGGCTGGGGTCACTCAGTGGCAGAGTACTTACCAAGAACTGTGCAAGGCCGTGGCTGCCATCCCCAGCACTTTATTGGCTGAGTGTGGTAGCACATGCCTATAATCGCAGCACATGGGAGGCTGAGGCAGGAGGATCGCTCTGAGTTTGAGGCCAGCCTTAATTACACAGCGAGGCCCTGTCTCAAAAAAACTAAAATGACTCCTGAACAGTGCGCCGTGTGCCCACTCCGTGTGCCCTCCTTTCTGGATTTTCCGTTTCCAAGTGCTTTTTTTTTGTACCGGGAATCAAACTTAGGACCTTGCGCTTGCCAGGCAGGCACTTGTACCGCTGAGCTGTATCCCTGGCCCTCCCTGTGCTTTAAGAAAGGCAGCCCCAAGGCCCTGGTGCCCCGGAAGTCAGCAGCCTGCATCTCGTCTGTCCGGCTCACGCTGCGTCTGCTCTGGTGAGGGTGCCTCCGCTGCTCCCAGCTGGTGCCTGGAGAAGGAGGAGCCCCCAGCCGAGGCCTCTGGGGCGCTGGCCCCCACATGGTGCTTGCCTGCGCGGTGCGGAGGTGGCGGAGCCTTCGCCCCACCGCCAGGGGGCGTGCAGGTGCACGCACACTTCAGTGACCTGGTTTTTGCTCCATTTCCCCGCCAGAAAAACAAGAATAAGAAGAAGGGCAAGGATGAGAAGTGCGGCTCCGAGGTGACCACGCCGGAGAACAGCTCCTCCCCTGGGATGATGGACATGCACGGTGAGCGCCTCTGGCCGGTTGGTTCGCATTCCAGGTGGGCAGGTGGGCGGGGCCTCCGTACCATGCTGAGAAGGAGGGCACAGCTCCTTCCGCTCCTTCCACTCCTTCCCCGGCGCCAGGAGACTCCCAGGGAAGCAGAGCCGGAGCAGGCAGACGGAGCCCGAGCTGGGCGTGGTGGTGCACTTCCACCATCAAGGAGGCTGAGGCAGGAGGATCACCGCGAGTTAAAGGCCAGCCTGGTCTACATAGCAAGACCTATCTCAAAAACAAAAGATCCTGTCCTTGCCCAGTGACAAACCCCGCAGAACATGTTCCTAGCAGCCCCACGTGCCCAGGAGGATCCAGGGGTGCCCATTTCTTGGTCCCACCTGGCTGGGCCAGCCCGGGCTGGGCCTGCTGGGTAGGTAGCTGTGGTTTCCAGGTCGCTTTGCCACTGGGGCCCTTGGGTTGCTGACTCTGCGGCCTTCCCTCAGGGCCCCGGGCACCGCCATCTCCCGCCACAGCCTGACTTCCTTTTCGAATTCCGAGCTCGTGGCCTGGTCGCTCCTGGCAGAGCTGGGGAGAGACGAGGCTGAGCCGCCGCCCGCGCCTCCACCTTCCTGCTGCTCATCTCCCTCCCTCCCTCACTGCGCGCTGTTGCTGAGGGAGTGCAGATCTCTCACCTCCGGCTTTGTGTAGGACCCCACACAGCACCGTCCCCGGACAGGCCCCAGCACCAGCGTCACTGAGAGCCCCCAGATAGGGCGCTGGAGAGCAGGGGTCTGGGCCCCCATTGCGCCCTGCCCAGACTCTCCAAGTGCGATCCTCAGCTGGTAGTTTACCCTCTAGCCTTGGGGTTGGTTGCGTTTTAATCTGCAGAACTCAGGGGCCAGGCCCACTGATGAAACCACGTGGGATTAGGAGATAATCCCCTGAACTCTGGCGCATTAACAGCGTGGTGTGTGAAGCCATCACCATGGGCCAGGCGCCCGAGGAGCTGTTCCAAGCGCTCCTTTGTTTGCGTCTGGTTTTGATCCCATTGTACGGATGGAGAAACCAAGGCAGAGAGCCGCAAAGCAACTTGCCTGAGTGGGAAGTTAGTGACTTCCAGAGTGAGTGCTGGCGTTTGACCTCCTTCAGGGGCAGAATCTGGGCTGCGGGATGGGCCAGTATCCCAGGAAAATGCAGAGGCCCGAATGAGCCAGCATCTGGTCCCAAGGGCCACACCTCCTGGAAGGCACAGGAAGGGCTGTGCACCTGCCCAGTGTCCCCAAGGGCCTGGGACACAGAGGATGCTCATGGTGCCCGCCCTGTGGTTGTTGTTTTGTTTGATTTTTGCAATCTCATCGTTGAACGCGGGGCCTGCCACAGATCAGGCAAGTGCTCTGCCCCTGCGCTGCACCCCCAACCTTCTTTTCAGATTCTCATTTTGAGAGCAGCTCTCGCTAAGTTGGCCCAGGCTGGGCTCAAACTTGAGAACTGCCTGCTTCAGCCTCCCGAGGAACCGGGCTTGCCCCAGGCGCTGGGCCCAGTCGTGCACAGAGGGAAAGGGAGCCGTGGGGTGTCGGGCTCCAGGGTGGGCTGCTCGCCGGTTAGTGCTGCCGTCACTGCCGCGCGTGGCCACGCACACACGCACGCAGCTTGTGAAGCGAGGAAAGTAGCCGCCTCAAGCGCAGCGTCCTCACTTGCTTCCGGGTAATGAGCGGCCCGGGTCCACTTAGAACAGGAAGCCATTTCCCCAGCGGAGTGCGTGTGGAGGAGAGACAGGTGGGGCCTTGGCCCTCGCAGGGAGGGACTGTGCCGCTTGGGCCTCAGTTTACCCCTGCATAAAGCGAAGGTGGCAGCAGCACCCACTGGTAGGTTGTTGGGGAGATCCCCCCACCCCCGTACCGGGAATCGAATTCACCACCTCGTGCTTGCCAGGCAGGCGCTTTGCCGCTGAGCTAAATCCGCAGCCCTTGTTGGGCAGATTAAGTGAGGTGACTCAGTGCCTGTAGATCCAGCTACCTGGGAGGCTGAGGCAGGAAGATTGCTTGAGCTTAGGTGTTAGGGGCCAGCCTGAGCAACATAGTGAGATCTCAGCTCTAAAGAAAACAAACAGATGGATGAAGTGCTTTTGTCCAATGCTGGGTACACAGTAGGTGCCCAGGACTGCTGATGGGGTACCTCCGTGCCCCCCCTTCACTCTCTCTGTCTTTCACAAAAGTGGCTTTGGTCCCAGGTGCAGCATGGCCCAGAAAGACAGCATCAGGTTATCGTGTTATTTTTGGAATCAGCACTTGGGTACCTGCATATAAAATGATTCTCTGGGGCTGGGGGTGGAGCTCAGCGGCACAGCCCCTGCCTAAGGGGCCAAGGTCCTGGGTTCCAAGTTTAGCACCTCAAAGCAACAAACAGAAAACAAGAGCTGGGCATGGTGGCACACGCCTTTAATCCCAGCACCGGGGAGGTTGAGGGAGGAGGACTGGCGCAAAGTGAGGCCAGCCTGGGCTGCACAATGAGTTCAAGGCCTCCCGGGGCTGCTCAGGCACCGCTGGTTACCTCTCCTCCCTTGTTTTTCGATTATGAAAAGTGTCACTGTCGGAAGGGTAGAGAAGTGGGAAGAGGGCCTCCAGAGCCCACACCTCGGTTTTTAGCCAGCACCAGGCCATATTCACCGCGTGTATTTTTTTTAACATGTTACGTTTTAAATTAACATATGATTTACATAAAAGCCCCGCACCTCTCTGAGTGTGAAGGGGAGCTCTGATCTCGTCTGCAGCCTGTGCAGAAAGCCACGCACAGAAAAGCCCCCGCCTCTCGGCGTCCGGCCCAGCATCTCAGCCTGTGACGTCTCCTGTGCCCGGCTGGCACAGGAACCGGGGCCTTACTCCTGCCAGGCCCGAGCCGCTCACTGCCAAGCTCCACTCCAGCCTTTCTGTCTGAAATGATGCGGCCTTGGTGCGACAGGGCCCCTGGGGCTGTGCCGCCTCCTGTTGCTCCCTTGTCCCTCTGCCTTTGCTTCTGTGTCTAGCGGCTGGACCCAGCCACGTGGGGCCCAGGGTGTTCGGTGAGGGGAGCACCCAGCCTGCCCCGGGAGCAGCCTGCCGGGTAGAGGCACCGGGAGCAGGGCAGCCCCCAGCCCGCATCTCCCCAGCAGCGGCGGTGTCATCCTGTGCCTCTGTCCCCATGCAGATGATAACAGCAACCAGAGCTCCATAGCAGACGCCTCCCCCATCAAACAGGAGCACAGCAGCAACTGCAGCCCCGCCCCGGAGCCCGGCGTGGCGCTGCCCGGCGACGGCAGTGAAGCCAAGGCTGAAGAGGCGCAGGCGGACGGCAAGGAGCACCCGGGGGCTGAAGGTACGGGGTCCTGGCGGGACAGGGGCTTGAGGAGGCGCGCAGGCACCGGGCCCAGAGGTGGCTGCAGAGGGAAGCTGATGGCTGCACACATCCTCGTGGGGCCATTAAAGATCAGCCAAGCTTGTCTCTGGAATCTAAGTGTGGAGAGGTTTACAGAGTAGGAACGGTTAATGAGAGCCAGGTGTGGTGGTGGTGGCTATTATCCCAGCACTCTGGAGGCTGAGGCAGGGGGATTGCAGATTTGAAGCCAGGAATGGTGGTACATGCCTGTAATCCCACACTTAGGAGGCTGAGGCAGGAGGATCCCAAATTCAAGCCCAGCCAGAGCAGTTTAGGGAATTAGCAAGACTCTGTCTTAAAAAACATAAAAATAAAAAAGGGCTGGGGAGGCAGCTCAGTCCCAAGGCCCTGGGTTCACTCCCTAGTGTTTATATAAATAAAGGAAAGAATTGAAGGAATAAGGTAATGTGCTCCCGTGTCTCCCAGCTAAACTCAGCAATTATTGAGGCTTGGGCGGGGGTTCTTTCTGGCTGTTGTTTTTGCTTTTCCTTTGCAAATACGTTTTTCTGGGATCATTGGGAAGTAGGTCTTACACCTCAGGACATTTCATCCCGCACACTGCAGCGCACCTCTTTATGAGACAGGGACTTCGCTTTCTGCGACCCTTACCCACTGTCACGCCAGGGAGCGGACAGCCACGGAGGCCACTGTGGAGTGGGAGGGCCCCGGGAAGTGTGTCGCCAGGGGTGCGGGCGACACTGGGCAGCGGAGGGCACCAGGGCCGCAGTCAGTGCTGGACAGGCAGGGCCTGCAGCCCGGGTGGCCTGGGCACAAGGGCCTCCTGGGCTCCCCTTGTGTACAGCAGGGCCAGGGCGCCCCCTGCAGCGGGGTTTGGGCCAGTGCCCGGGCTGGAGTCACCCGGCGTCCCGCTGCCTGCCCCACGAGAACTGAGATCTCAGATGACCTCCAGCCAGGGTTTTTTTTAGTTCAACTGTGATCTCAGAATTTAAAACTTGAACAGCTCCACGTAAAATACGATTGCTGTCTGGGCGTGTGGTTCATGTCTCACCCCAGCACTCTGGGAGGCTGAGGCAGGGGCATCAAAAGTTTGAGCCCAGCTTGGTCCGTTTAGCGACTTATCCAGACCCCGTCTCAAATTAGACAAGGGGGAGGACGTGGGGAACGTAGCTCAGTGAGAAGGCCCGGGTCCAGTCCCCAGCACTGGGGAAAAACGGGAGAGGGAGGGCGGGCGGGGGGAAGGACAGGAGTGAAGGAAGGCTCCGTAGACCGACTCCCACCTTCTCAGGAAGAGCAAGCAGGCCAGGCAGTGCTGGAGCAGAGAAGCCGCTGCTGCTCGGGGAGCCCGCCCCCGCCCTTCCCAGCCCTCTGCCAGCCAAAGCCAAAGGACCCGTGCTTACGGATTTTCTAATTGAAAATTTAAAGGAGAAACTGACTTGGTTTGTTTTGAGACAGAGTCTCCCTGTGTAGCCCGGGATGGCCTCAAACTCATGGAGATCCTTCTACCTGAGCCACCGAGTGCTCGGAGTACAGGCGTGCACCACCACACCCGGCTGTTAATTTCTTATTTGGAGACAGGGTCTCACTAGATTGCTACATTGCCCCAACTGGGTTTGAATTTGCAGTCCTCCTGCCTCAGCTTCCCAGAGTGCTGGGGTTACAGGTGTGTGCCACTACGCCCACTACCTTTCTTTGTAAAGTTCATCTGTGTCCTGACTCAGCGTGGCATGGCCCAGTCCCTGAAGGGACTTTCGAGTTCCTGGTCACTGCCTAGTAGACACAGTAGGGAAAGGCAGCCTGGGCTTCCGGGAAGGCCTGCGTTGGAGGAAAAGCCGTCTGCCGAGGGCTCGTGTGTGCACAGGTAGGAGGAAAGAGCCGGTGTCTCGGGCAGGGCACAAGTCTCTAAACAGAGTGGTGTGAGCTTCAGAGCCTGGTGTCGCCGGAGCACAGCCTAGCAGCAGGACGCGTGGGGGAGGCAGCTGCAGCTGGGGTTGGGGCCTCGCCGGAGCATACTCGGCCCATCGGGGAGGCTGCCGTGTGGTGGGAGTGGGACCCTGGATGCAGGGACCCTGGCAGAGGCTGAAAGGACCTGCGGGACAGCGCAGGGGTCGGCGCGAGTCTGCCCAGAAATGTGGGTCCCGGTGTGGCCCCTGTTTCTGAGCATTGCCCCCAGATCCCAAGCACCCACTTCCGAGTGCCGGTCACCATGCAGCCTATCCTCACCGGGACGGGGCGCGCCGCGTTCTGTCTCCCGCTGCGCGCCCTGCGCTTACGCAGTGGCCCGGACTTCACTGAGACAGCCCCCACTGGCTCATGTAGGTTGTTCCCGGTTTGGTGTGGTTTGGCTTTGTCTGTTTGCTTTTGAGATGGAGTCTCACTATGTGGTCTAGGCTGGCCTTGAACGCATGGCCTGGCATAAGCCGCGCGCGTGTGTGTGTGTGTGTGCGCGCGCACGCGCTGCTGGAGCCCAGAGCCTCCTGCGTGTCGGGAAGCGCCCTCCCACTGAGCGCCCCCAGCCCTGTCTTTGTCACACACGTGTTGCCCGGGGCTCTGATACACGGGTCGCCTTGCTCCTTCACCCTGTGGGCGTGGCGCGGGGGACCTGGCCCTGGGTCTGTGCGTGTAAAGGGCAGAGCCGGGTTGTGGCTCAGTGGTGGAGTGCCCGCCCTCCCTGCCCCAGGCCCGGGTCCCCTCCCAGCGCTGGGGACAGGAGCTCTCAGGACGACCGCGCGTGGGTCCTGCTGTGTGTCCTCGGAGCACGTGCGGAGGGGCCCGTGCTGGAGCCAGGCTGCTGGGCCTCACCCTGGTGACCGCTGGGACAGGGGCTCCTTGTTGTGGACTGTCCTGTGCCCTCCAGGACTTAGAGCGGCATTCAGGTCTCTACGCACCGATGCCAGTAGCTCCGCCCCCCAACTTGGGCACCGAATACGTCTCCAGACAGTGCGCAGTGTGCCTGAGAGGAGGTCCCTCGCTGAGCGTCTCGGTGGCTTTGCTGCCGCCCTCTGCCGTGTGCAGTGGGCGCCTCGCCTCCCGCCCTGGTGGCCCCGCCGCTCCCCGGGGCTGCTGGTCTGGTCAGCAGCTTGGCTTTGGCCTGGTCCAGGCTGCCGTTTCCTGGCTGAGCGTGCCGGGTGGGGGCCGGCCTCCCCGCCGGGCCTCCTCCTTGCCTATAAAAGGGACGGCGAAGTCCCTGTCTTGTCGGGTTGCTGCAGGGAGCGAAGGGGACAGGAACGGAGGACAGGAGCACAGCAGAGTGCTCGGCGGAGGAAGGGCCGCTTGTCCACCCTCTGTTGGGGAGCAGTTTTGGGGCCACTGCAGCAGGTGTGGCCGTCTTTCTGCCACGCCCCAGCGACTCCCATGTTTGGGGTCTGCGCCTCCCTTACCCGGAGGGCAGCTGCAGTGACACCGGAGTTAGATGTCCCTGAAATGCTTCTGTGACGGCCGCGCCAAGTACCAACGCCCGACACCCCACTGCCGGGAACTTCGCAGGCACAGCTGAGAGGCTCCGGACCTCGGGCCTGCACCCCGTGGCCCCCCGCGAGGTGCGCACAGACGGTGTGGCCTACCCAGGTGGCTGTGCCGGACCACAGGTCGGCCACCAGCTGTGACCTTGCTTTGAACTTGTTTACTGCCGAGCAAGTTCGGGGAGTGACATAACGTCCAAGCTCCCTGGACTAAATTTAGGCCCCAGGAAAAGAATTTCCCCCGGGTGAGTTCCAGCGCCAGCTCCCTCTGAGAACTGGGCGGCTGCCCCGAGGCCCGACCCTGCTGCAGCCTTGGGCCACAGGCCAGTTCCCACCGCAGAGGGACACACAGGGTCGCCCTGTGCGCCTCCCTGTGACCGCGCCCTCCTCCCCGTCATCTGCGGGACCCGAAAGGAACTTGGCCGCAGAGCTGGAGGCGTGATACGGCAGACTTTTACGGTCAGTAAACGTTGTGAATGCTTCGGTTGAAGCAAGCATATTATGAAAGAGAATAAAAATTAACGTGGATTTCTTTTCTTTATTAAGAAGAAATTTATATAAAATTAACTGTTTAGGGGCTGGGGTGTACCTCAGTAGTAGATCTTAAGCTTAGTATGTGTGAGGCCCTGAGTTTGATTCTCAGCATGACAAGAAATTTAAATTAATCTATTTGTTAAACCGGGTGTGGTGCCGCAGGTCTATAATACCCGCATTCAGCAGGCTGAGGCAGGAGGGTCACTAAGCAAGTGAGGCCAGCCCAGGCTACTTAGTGAGACCAAATCAAAAAACCAAAGCAAATAAAAATTAGAAAATAAGTTAATGTGTGTGTGTGCACGCGCGCGTGCATGCGCGTTTGTAGGTGCATGCATGCATGTACATACGTGCTACTGGAGATCAAACCCGAGGGCACACTACCAGTGAGCTATATCACCAGCCCTTTTTTATTTTTTAATTTTTATTTTGAAACAAGGTCTTTGCCCAGGCTGGTCTCAAACTCGTGATCCTGCTTCAGGCTCCTGGATGCTCTGGTTACAAGTGTGTACCGCCATGTCCAGCCGAAATTAATGAATGTTTGTTTGTTTGAGACAGGGCCTCGCTCTGTATCCCAGGCTGGCCTTGAACTCAGGGCAATCTGCCTGCCTCAGCCTCCTGAACTCATGGCAGTCTGCCTGCCTCAGCCTCTTGAGTGCTGGGATTACAGGGTGTGCCACCGTGCCTGGCTTTGAAATTAGCCATTTTTAAGTGAACAGCAATTCAGCGGTGTTTAGTACATTGGCGTTGTACTAAAACACTTTCATCGCCCCAAAGAAACTATCCATATCTCCAGGGGTACCCCCCAGTCCCTCCCCATTCCTCTTCCTCGGTGGCTTTACCCACCGACACGTCAGTAAGGGACATGATGTGATCTGTGGGCTTTGGTGACTGACGTCCCTTACGTAGCATCGTAATGGTTTTTGTTTGTTTGCGGGGCTGGGGTTGAGCCTAGCACTTGCCCAGGGCCAGGCAGGCGCTCTCCGTGGGGCCACATGCCCTGCCCTCTTTATTTTGAGACAGGGTGTTGCTCAGTTGCTCAGGCTGGCCTTGAATCCGCGGTCTATCTTCCCGCCTCAGTCTCCTCGTGGCTAGGACCGCAGGCGTGCACCCCCCATCCTGTCGTGTTCCGCACTTAGCGGTGCTCTGCTGCCCTGTAGTGCTCAGGTCCTGCTCGTGACTGAGTGACGCTCCAAGGTGTGCACAGGTGTGTTTATCCATCCGCTACGTGTGAGCTATTGTGAGTAGTGCTGCTATGCACATCAGCGTGTAAGAATATGCTGGAGAACTGGGTGTGATAGTGCCCGCCATAATCTCGGCCCTCTGTGAAGCTGAGGCAGGAGGATCACAAGTCAGAGCTCAGCCTGGGTAACTTAGCAACTTAGTGAGACCCTGTCTCAACATTTAAAAATTTAAAAGGGCCAGGGATGTTGCTCAGTGTGAAGGTCCCGGCTTCAATCCCCAGTACCCCTCCCCCCATAAAAGAATCCGTTTTCTCTTCCTTGGGATGTGTACCTCAGGATGCAGTTGCTGGGTCATATGCTAATTCTGTGTCCACCTTTTTGAGGAACTGCCATTAACTTGGGTTTATTTATTTACATGAACTTAGATTTAAAAGGTAAGACTAAAAATATCAAAGGAATCGCAGGCCTTGAGTTTGGTTCTCTGCACAGATCACCCCGTTATTCCCGCTGGGGTGAGCGCAAAGCCTGGGCTCTGTTATCTCGTCCTCTGGCTCATCTCGGCCACTTGCCCGGGAGGCTGTCAGCCTTGTGTTCACAGAGGGCCACGGGGGACCAAGAGCCCCTGGTCCCACGCAAAGCCAGTGGCGGGGCAGTGTGGGCCACGTCCCAGCCCAGCTCTGCCCCCAGGCCCGTCCCTCCGCTGGGGTGATGGGCGAGCCCCACCGTCGTGAGGGTGGACAGTGACCCTCCTTGTGGCAGGACCGAGCTGGCTCTGAGCGGCCTGCGTGGCTGTCCTGGCAGCCGCGACAGGTCAGGGCTGCTGCCGGGGAGCCACAGAGAATTGGCCGGCAACATCCCCTGTCCCCGCTCAGCCTTTCGTCGGGCCCCTGCAGGCCCTGCGTGGCCACTGGCTCCTCCCTGTGTCCCCATGTCACTCGCTTGGTGTTCAGTTCCAGCCCATATTTTTCTCCTTTGTTACTTTGCCTTAGAAACCCCGGAAAGCCAGCCGGGGTGCTGGGGCCCCGACCCGTGTCATTTTAGTGAGCGCTTTACACACCAGAGCGAGGCCCTGCGTGCGGTGGTCCGGGCCTGGTGGGATCTTGTCCCCTCCCCGAGTCCCAGCAGCGCCAGGGAGCCCACAGCTGCCCTCCCCTCCGAGCCGCCTCCCCTGCCCAGCCCAGACCTCCCTGCGGCGAAGACACCGAGGGCCAGCGGCTCTAGGATGCTGTGCCCCTGAGAGACAGGAAGATGACCCTCGTGGGGACCTCGGGAGAGAGGGCTGCATCCTCTCACGTGTTGGTGGGGTGCGCTGAGATGGCAGATAGTTGTAACTTTTCTCCCCTGGATTTCCGTTTCCTGCAATGATAATCGGTCCTTGGGAGAAACACTCATTGTGAAGAGAAATGTTTACAGGGTCTGCAGCGCTCTGACAACCTCCGGAGGAGCCGGCAGCCTCCCTGGCCAGCTGCCTGGAGGAACTCACAGCCGTGGTCATGGGGTGTGCGGGACACCAGGGGGCGCCAGGGGCTACAGCATCAGAGCCGTGCTGCTCTGACCAGCAGTGAATAGGCGTGCGAGGAGGGCTGGGACCTGCAGCCTGCGTGCGACCTGCGTGTGGCCTGGCTCCCTAACGCAACCGCACTACAGAATAAAGGGTCTTCGCAGGCCCCCAGCCCAGCCAGCTCTGAGAGACACCAGCCGCAAGACTCCCGCGTTCTGGGTATTTTTAGAACCGGCCCATCTGCGCTCTCCCGTCACGTGTCTGAGAACAGCTCCTGTCATTTCGCTCTTTCTCTCAGACGCTGCAGATGAGCAGAGCTCACAGTTGTCGATGGAAAACTCGGGCAGTGCGGACAAAGTGGAGCGGCAGCCGTCTGCGGAGTCGGGGCTGGCCACGGAGCCATCCACAACCTCTCAGGTACCTCTCGCCAGACCCAGGGGTTGTCGGGCCGTGGTGGCAACTGCCTGCAATCCCAGGGGCCTGGGAGGCTGAGGCAGGAGGATCACTGGCCCAGGTCCAGCCTGGGCAACTTAGCAACTTAGTGAGACCCTGTCTCAAAAATGTACAAGAGCTCAGGACATAGCTCAGTGTGAGACCCTGGGTTCAAGCCCTAGAACCGGAAGTAAGGAAGTGGGGAGGGGTAGAGGTAGGAAGGCTGCCTTGTGGGGTTTTGTGTTGGACTGTCGAAATGTCTCTTGGCCCTTCAGCAGCGCCCTTGAGGCTCATCCACGTTCTGCCCCAGCCTCTGGTCCACAGTGATGGGGGACACGCGACCCCACTCCCAGGGAATCTCTAGGGTGGAAGAGGAGGCCACAGCTTTGGGCCTAGAGTCAAACCGGCTGCCCCAGGGCCCCAGCCCACGTCCATCGGGGCTGGGAGATGAGGCCTCCGAAGCCAGAGCCCCAGTCAGCCTTGGACTCTGCGGCTGAGCCTGCAGTGCTGCTCGGGCCCCTCTCTGGGTTGTAACCAAATGTTAGAACTTGGCCCAGATCCGGCAGTGCAGATACGGCCCGTGGTGACAGCTGACGTCCCAGAGGCGACCTGGGTTCAGATCCCAGCACCATCTCTCCAGAGTTAGGCCTCGGCTGGCCCATGAGCGCAGACCCACCCTGGGCCTCAGGAGGGTCAGCTGAGAGCTTGGCTTCGTCACTGTGAGCCCTTCAGATGAATCTTAGGGGGGCGGAGCCCAGGGGGGGCAAGCCGTCCTCCCTCCTTCCCAGCCTCCTTCACTGCGTGCGTCTCCTCTTCCTCCCTCCCCAGGATCTGGAAGGGGGGCCACCCTCCAAGAAGCTGAAGCTGGAGGCCTCGCAGAACCCCGAGGAGATGTAGGCGCCGGCTCCGTGTCCGGCCGTGTGTCCTGGCGGGGCACCCGCAGGCTGCTTCCTGAGCCTGCTGCCTGGGCGGCACCCTTGGGTGCGGACAGAACCACCCAGTTCCCAGTTTACCAAGGCGAATCCAAGGACACTCGACCTGTGTGACTTCTCAGACACTGAAGACCTCTGCTGCGAAGCAAGACCCTCAGACCTTGAAGGGACCCTCCTCGGGGAGGCGGGCGACAGCTCAGGAGTCTGCACACTGTCCCGGGAGCCAAGATGACGTTTGTGTTGCTGCTGTGTCCCCCTCTATCTCACAATATAAGCTACGGGAGGGCGGCGCCCATCAGGAGCCCGCTTCCTGTCGGGGGCTTTTCACTGTTCCACCGATTCCTTCCGCTTTCTTTTTCTGTGCCTTGTGCCCTTGAGGTGACCTCTGGCATGTCTACTGGTTGTTTTGCGTCTCCCTTTGCAAAGTGCCCTCTCGGCGGCTGCCACCTGACCCGCCTCCCCGCTCCCTGCCCTGGGACTGCTTCGGAGCTGGCAGGGCGGAGCTGCGGGGGAGCCGGGCGCCCCGAGCCCAGCCTGGCGCCCTGCTCCGCGCCTCGCCCTGGCCTGCCCGGGCCTTGGGTGCTGGGTGTTCCTAGGACTCAAGGAGCCCTTGGACGTCTCCGGCACTCCCGCACTCCTGTCCCCACCAGGGCTGCCGCTTCCGCCCTCTGCTGTCTCCTGGGTCGGAGCGGACACTGCGGCTCATCTCCTGAGACAGCATCAGGGCCGGGGAGGCCGGGAGCAGGTGGCAGGCCAAGCTGGTGCTGAACCCTCCTGGGCCGTCGCTGGATTCAAGTCTGCGGGACCCGCCGCCCCAGCGCCCCTTCCCTCGTGCCCGCTTCGCGTGGTACTGACTCTCAGAGCGACGGCACTGGGGCTTACTCCCAGGACGAACCCTTGGTCTCAGCAGAGAGCAGCCTTGATGATTGGGCCTTAAAGGCCAGAAAAAGGCACCCAGGACTTGGGAAGCTTTGCACACCTTCTAGGAAGGAGCGCCCCACAGAAGAGCCCCCCGGTCCCCACCTCGCCCACACTGGGACAGCGTCCTGTCTCCGTGGAGATGACGGAGCCAGCTGCCCAGCTGTCAGTTCTGGGGCCTGGTTTGCTCTCATGACTGCAGACTCCTCGGACCCTCACCCTTTCCCTGAGCTTTCTTTACTGCACTGGAGTTCTGGCTCCCTTTGAGTTGTGTGTTATGGGGGTGGGGGCTGCGGGTTTCGTTGTTTTGTTTTTGTTTTGTTTTGGGGCTAAATTGGTGCATATTCAGGTACCACCTTTGCTGTGGGGCTCTTTCTCTGACCACCATGGGAAGTGTCTGCCAGATTCCATTTTCTAAGAGTTTCTGAGGGCGAAGCTCCTATTTTTTTTTTAAAGGGAGCCTATCTATTTCCTGCACTTCAAGAAGAATCAGAAATGTTCCTGAATTTCAAATACCTCATGCAAAATGTCTCCTGAAATAAGGGAAAAAAAACTTTGAAAATATTCATGTTGAAGTTAGCAATGCTGAAAGATTTCTGTCTTAAAAAAAAAAAAATCCTTGTACTTCTCCATCCTGCCCTCAGGCGGCCAGTTCTGCTGAGAATTGCGACCTGGGTCTCGTCCCAGCTGTGACCCGACACGCGACCTGGTGACCCATCTGAGGCTCGAGGCAGCTTGACCTCCAGATCTCTTGGAGCTAGGGTGACGCCTTCATTTACAGCAAAACCATTTCGAGGCAAGACGAATTGGGATATTTATTTCTCTAGGGAAATGAGAGGTGACAGCTACGGAGAGTCCCACACCTTATCCACAGGGACAGCCAGCCAGCCGGGACCCCCTGTGCCTCTCTGGACAAGCAAGGGGGGCTGGCACAGTGGGGGATGACAGTGACGAAGTCCATGGTCCCCAGGCTGACCTTCGTTTCTCTCTGAAGTGCCTGTAGGTAGGAATGGGCCAGCGGTAGGGACCAGCCAGGCCCTGCCACGGCCACGGCCAGGCCAGGCCAAGCGCCGGCAGCCCTGCTCGCCCTGCCGGCCGGACGCCTTCCACACGGATCGGTGACACTGCAGAAATCCAATGTGCTTCCTTCCCAGCCACCCACACCCGGCGCCCCGTCCCCACCGCAGAACCTAAGAACTGGCCACGCCAGGGCGGATCCTCGGGGACACCAGGCCCCTGGCCTACAGGGCCCCCAGGGCAAGCTCGATCCCGGAGACTCTGAGTTGGAGAGGCTGCGGCTCCATGTCCCAGAGTGCTGGCCCCAGCCCTGGAGCCCCAGGCGGGGGCCCGCTCCTCCTAGGCGGTGACCGCCATCCTCAGGGGGCGTCATGTTGGGGATGTTCCTTAGCGCCGAGGACCTGCTTAGAGGGATAAAGACCTTCTTTTCACCGTTACTTCATTTTTTTTTTTCTTCTTCGGTTTTTTTTTTTTTTTGGTGTGTTGTACAGCAGTATAATTTTTCACTTATTTATTCCATCAGTAGATATGGTTTGTACAATGTACAATGGTTCCATTTCAGAAAATAAAATTCAAATCATGAGTACATGGTGGTTTCTTTGTTGTTTTCTTTTTTAGTGTTTGTTTCTCACGGTCCCGGGGGTGTAACCCAGGGCCTTCACTGTAAGCGACATCCCCAGCCCATTTTGTATGTTTTACTTTGAGACAGGGTCTTGCTAAGTTACTGGGCAACTGCAGTGTAGACTCCAACTCCCGATCCTCCTGCCTCAGCCTCACAGAGTGCTGGGATTGCAGGCGTGGGCCACTAGACCAGGCTGCCCTGTGGTTTTGCCACATTAAAAGTGAAATCGGATGAGTGGTGAGGATCCCTGGCCCTGACTGCACAGGGAGGTGAGCTGCTGGCACCTGGCCCGTTGCCTTCCATTGCCATGGTAGCCATCATTCCAAAGCACCGGCCGGGCGCCGGGCCAGCCCCAAGCCCTCCTTTCTGTGGGCCGGTGTCGGTCATCTGTTCAGGTGAGGAAGCAGCAGGAGTAGCCCTTGTTCCGCGTGTGTGACCAGGCAGAGCCCCAGTCTGAAAGCTACACCTAGGCCTGGGATAACTTTGTGGCAGAGTGCACAGGCCCTAGGTTCAACACCACAAAACATAAAAAAAAAAAAACAGATAAAAAGCCACACCTGACACCACACCTCCATTTCCAGCTTCCTGGGTTTGGGGCAGCTTGGGGGAGGCGGGCGGCCACCTTGGCCTTGAGGGCCAGGCTGGATCCGCAATCTTGCCCAGGCCCTCTCCTCCCAGCTGTCTGACTTCCTTATTTAGCAGCTCGCACTTTGTCTTCCAGCCCAGGGAAGCCTCCAGGAGCTGCTGAGAGAGGAACACGGCCAAGCCAGGGCAGGCCGACCCGGAGACAGATACTGTCCCCTCCTGACCTGCCGCCTCTCTTCCCACCCCAGCCGCCTCACATGCTCCAGGTTTTTTACCAGAATTGGTCCCTCAGCTAACTCAGCTCCCGATATGGAAAGTTCAGCTGGATGAAACACAAATCACTGGAGCCTTCCCTGTTTGCTTAACAAGGAAGAGAAAGCAATAACTGGCTGCAGCTCTCCTGCCCAGCTTCCCTCCCAGACCCCTCCCTGTGGAATTTTTTTTTCTTTCAGTATTGGCATTTAAACCCAGGGCCTTTGTACTAAGCTGCCTCCCGCAGTTTTTTGGTTTTGTTGGTTTTTTGTTTTGGTTTTTTTTTTTGAGAGAGAGTCTTGTCAAGTTGCTAAATTGCTCAGGCTGGGCTCAAACGCAATCTTCCTGCCTCAGCTTCCAGAGTGCTGGGCCTGCAGGTCTATGCGCCATACCCGGCTTCTCTGTGGCTCTTGCCTTTTCTCTCTGCCACCCATGTCTCTAGCTCCACGTCTGTCTGTCAGTCACTCTGCTTCTCCTCTCTGACTGTGCAGAGCTGTATGGCTTCTTCTGCTGTCTGCCTTTACTGGGGAGCAGCTGAACATGGGTTGGAAGGCGGGGTTCATGGAGCCCCGTCTCTGTGCAGGGCCTTGGGCAGCAAGATTCAAACTTGATTTTACTTCTAGGCATAAAAGTGAACCAGAGCCGGGTGTGGCGGCACACACCTGTAATCCCAGCACTAAGGAGGCTGAGGCAGAAGAATTGCTGCAAGTTCGAGGCCAGCCTGGGCTACACAGTGAGTTCAAGGCCAGCCTGAAATACAGTGAAACTCTGTCTGGGGTCGGGGAAGCCAGGGCACCAAAGAGGGTGTCTAGTACGGCTAGGGAGGAGAGGGGTGTGCATTTGGATGGAGGGGAGAAAAGCTCCTAAGACAGAGAAGGAACCCCTGGCAGGGAGTAAGAAACAGTTTCTCTTGTTTCGGACTTTGTTTGCTGTACTGGGTGGGGACTGAACCCAGGGCTTGGCACACGCTATACAGCACTCTGCCCTGGAGCTACACCCCCAGCCTGTTGTACAGCTTTTATTTTGAGACATGTCTAACTTCCTCTCTTACTCCTCCCAGCAATACAGCTTTCCTCCGTTGGCCCAACGTAGATAACCGTGGGCTTGGTCCGGTTGCACACCTTTCCTCTCCAAGCAGAAGTTGCTCTCTAGCCCTCAGCCTGCAAGTGGGGCTGGATTAGCCAGGCCGGCCCAGTCTGTATGGTCCCGCCCCCAGGCTGCTGCCATTGGTTCAGGGATGGGCACATGACCCCAAGTGGACCAATGAGAGTCAGCCCTGAGATTTTTGCGGGAACTGGTGGGAAAGAGTTCTACTGGAGCTTGGAGTTGGAGGTGTTAAATGATGGGCTGGGGATGTAGCTCAGCGGCATAAGTGCTTGCCTGGCAAGCCTGAGGTCATGAGTTCAATTCCCGGTACAAAAAAAAAAAAAAAAGACGGTTCTGGAGGTGTGAAATGTAAAGTGAGTGTGGTGACCCATCCCTATAACTTCAGCACTCTTGAGGCTGAGGCAAGAGGATTGCTGCCAAGTTCTAGGCCAGACTGGGCTGCATAGTGAGTTCAAGCCTAGGCTGAACTACATAGTGAGACCCTGCAAATAAATAAATAAATAAATAAATAAACAAACATGTTTAAAATATAAGCAGCTGGGGTGACTTTGCCTCTACTGGAAGAAGCATGTCCAAGAGTGAAGGCAACACAGGAAAGAGAGCTGGTGAGTACGACCTTTCAAGAGCAGTGCCTCAGCACTTGGCCGCAGCCAGCCCTGTAGCCCTGCCCTTGCCCTTGAACTTGCCAGTTTATGAGCCAGTAACTGCCCTCGATGAGTTAGCCCAGTATTAGTCGCCTTTCCATTGCTGAGACAAAAATACATGACATACAACATACAGAGGATGAAAGGCTCACGTTGGCCTTCACCGTTCCAGAGGGTTCAGTCCATGGCCAGCTGGCTCCAAGGCAGGACCACCATGGTGCAAGGGTGAGGTGGAGGAGAGCTGCTTACTCCTAGCAGGCAGGAAGCAGGGGTCGGGGGAAGCCAGAGCGGAGGGGGCCCTGACACCTGCTTCCTCCAATGGGGGCCCGACTCCTGACAGCCTACCCAGCTGTGAACTCACCATGGATGGACCAAAGGCCTTAATTACCAAAGTCAGTACCCTTATAAACCCCCGACCTTGAACGTGACAGCCTTGGGGATCAGGGCCTCTGTACGTGAGCCTATGGGGATACTGCCTGTTAAACCACAGCAGTTAACCTGGGTGTTTCTCTGGGTGAGCCCCCACATCTCTGTCTCAGAGCTTGAAGTTGACAAACCCAGCCTTTACTAATCCAGGAGCCCTTCCATCTCCCAAAGGATAGTTTGACAGAGTGCTGTTCTCTTGGCGGAAGTGTCTGTCCCTCCAAATCCCTCCTCTGTTAGTGCTCCCATATGACAAGGACTTGGACGAGGAAACAGGAAAACACGGACCTGTTACAGACCATGTTCAGACCTGTTTAGACTATAACTATCAGCATCTAAAGCTCTACCACTCCACAGCTATGTGACCTCAGGCAAGTATTTTAGCCTCTCTGGGCCCCAGTTTCCTCATCTGTAAAATGGAGAGATTAATAGCACCTACTGGGGCTGGGGATATAGCTCACCAGCACAGACACCTACCTGGCAAGCACAAGGTCCTGAGTTTGATTCCCAGTACCAAAAGAAATGAAAAATAAAAAAATAATAGCACCTACTAGCCAGGTATGATGGCACATGCCTGTAATCCCAGCACTGGGGAGGCTGAGGCAGGAGGATTGCTGCAAGTTTGAGGCCAGCCTGGGCTACAAAGTGAGCTCAAGGCCACCCTGAACTACAAAGGGAGACCCTGTCTCAAAAAAAAAAAAAAAATTATTCTTTCAACTACCTAATGTTTCAACAGGAAGGTGTGGTCTAGGGTCGGGTTGGCAAGCTTTTTCTGCATAGGGCCATGTGGTAAAAAAATCTCAATTGCAATTACTCAGCTCTGCCAGGGTGCAATGAAAGCAGAGATAATATGTGAATGAACAAGTATGGCTGCATTCCAATAAAGCTTTATTTACAAAGACAGGTGGTAGGCTTGGTTTGTGGCCCTCTGATCTGAGGAAAGACAGCAGGTTCCAGGCTTCTTACTGAGGCTCTACAGGTCCCTGCTCCATGGCTTCCCTGGCCTCAGTTTTCCTTTCTGTGTGACACAGAGGCTGCTTCTCTGCTCTGATGTGAGGTTGCTGGGAGGTCACATGAGCTCATCACAGCTCAGGCCCTTGGAGAGAAGGAGCCGCAAGATTAGGGCCTCTTGAGGTTCTTTGAGGCAAAACAGGCTGTTGTTTCTGCCAAGGTCTGCAGAGAGAGCCGGGACCCCAGCCAGCAAGTGTGTCCTGGGCACTTGTGTCTCAGGGGCTACCGCAAAGGGAAACAGGACCCACGGGTGTGGCAGCACCTGCGGCCCCTGTCTCCTGGAAGCACAAAGGTGACGGACCCAAAAGAAGTTTCTGATGGGCTGTGCCACGGCGACCAGCTCCTGAGGCATGATGTGTCCCCTGACCTCGGCTTCCCTTATTCAGCAAGGCTGGGCATCCTGTACCCTCGGGGCCTTCAGACAACCCCTCTGGGACAGTCACTCGGGAGAGGTTAGCTTCAGGGAGCAGTGGGGCCTGGAAGCCAAGCCTGAGGCCGTGAGGGTGGGCAGTTGCTTCCTTTTCCCGGTGCCTGTGTGCTCGGAGCTGGACTTCCTGCCATCCAGATGTGCTTGGGGATAAGAACGCTAACTATAATGAAAAACAGCAGCTGCGGGCACGGTGGTGCACACCTGTAATTTCAGCATTCTAGGAGATTGAGGCAGGACGTACACAGGTTCTGGGCAATTTAGCCACTTA